GGAGGGGCCCATCTCTGGTGGCCTTCCGCTTGCCGCCAAAGGACCGCCCCCGCCCCCTCGCTGGCCTTACGACATGTGTTGTCCATCTGTCCCCTCGGCACGACGTTACAAATAAGACCGAGAGTCAGTGAGTCACTGATTCAGTAAGTCAGTCAGTCACTCCGTCTTCGTCAGATAAGGTGTCTGCAAATAAACCAAGATGAAGAACACATAATTGTTTTCCGAACAAAAAACGCATGTAATTGAATGTAATGCTATGGAATAGAAAACACTTAAAAAAACAGCGCAAAATAATAGCACGAAATAATTGAGAGACTTCCTTTCATTTCCTGAAGGGCAAAGAAGTGACGGATGAACCGGTCGGGTAGGCCATCATTCTGCCGCGCCTCGGCGGACACGAGAACAGATGACGAGCGCGCGGCGAAGCGTGTCCGCCCCACCTGCTCTGCATCACGCACTGCCCGCTCTCGCCTTCCTCAGCCACGCGGTGAACCAGACGCTCAATTGCTTTGCGCACCCTCTGTGGAAGCTTGTCACATGTAAAAATGAATATTTTTGGATTATATGGTGCATATGTCTGTAGTTAAGTTCAATTTGAAAAATGCCGCCGCTCAAATGGTGATCCAGGGTATCAACAATGATGTCACTGCAGTGCCTCTGACCGGGAGGACTTAGGGTTTCAATGCTGAAGGAGGCAGGTTTTTCAACTCTAGCTACATAGTAGGCGGAATTCAGCCGCTGTCTGGAGAATTCTAGCGGCCGGTTGCTCTGATCGGTAGTTTCCCGTAGAGTCCCGACGACGATGTATTTGCGACGAGTATCCACGCCTAGGCAATATTCCGTCCTGGCACGAGTATGAACGTGGATACTAGCTATGCAGCTTGGACGTATTCAGATGCTCAATTCTAGCTGTCAGCTGCACTGATCGGTAGTTTTCCGTGGTTTCTCTGACCTACACCAGGCGAATGCCGGAGCAGAACCCTTACGAACTGACCGTGCGCGATCTTTCCATCCTTTTCTTTGTCCTAACCTCACCCCTTTCACACACCCTTACATGCACTACACTACTAAACACGTTGGGAGCTTAGAGATTTTCACGGCTGGGGCGATGTCCTGCTGATAGGAGATACTTTGTTGGGAAAACCTCCGCTAACCAACGTTTAGAATGGCGTCGGATATCATCAACCAGCATGGGAAGATCACCGGCATCTTCTGAGGAAAAAAGTCACATCATATGGGACTACGAAGAGTTGATCCTGGGGAAACTCAAAATAATCAATCAAATAGTAAACATATTATTCTTCTTCCAACTAGGTTTCCCTTCACATTTAAATTACAATAATTATTTAAACAATAATCACCTTTCTCTATAAGTCTTTGCAATGTTCGAAAGACAGGAATTTTATTGAGGAATGATAGAAGATCATTATACATTACTTAAATTCGTTTTCAGAAATCAACATTTACTTTTTTCCCTATCTACATGGAATTTCTAGCCCAGAATCTTTTATAAAAATTGATTTTCCTATACAAATAAATAAATTCTTCTCAATAAAAAATGCTCTTGGGGCAATCTCCCACCAGGTGTGTTATATGTAGTATAGTTAACAGCAGCCTGACAACAGCCGTTGTCATAAGGTCACTTCTCAGGGTAGTCGCGCACACACAGCTTGCCGCTGGAGCCACGTGACGTATGTAGAACACAGTTCAAAGTTTGATTATTGATGGTTCCGGGTACGCCGATTGCTATGGTCATTACTCCCGTAATAAAGGAGAATGAATATCCCGGGAAGTGGCGGTGTACCTCCCCTGCTGAAAGTTGAGATCAAGTGCCGACCTACCCTTCGGATAGCGAGGTTTTCTCCAACCAGGTATCTCCCACCACCGCCCCAGACCGGGCAAGTTCCAAGCTTCTGACTGGTCTACCGACATGTGTGATAGTGCAGAGCTGTCAAGTGTAAACGCATGTAAGTAAGGGGTGAGGATAAGACGTGGAAGAGGAAGAAAAGATCGCGCGCGGTCCGTAGCCCGTTTGTTAAGGGACTGCTCCGGCATTCGCCTAGTGTTGATCGGAGAAACCACGGAAAACTACCGATCAGAGCACCTGACAGCTAGAATTCAGCAGCTGAAAAAGACCAAGCTGCATAGCTAGTATTACTCGCGGAACTCTTCTTGAACGATGACCTTGCTTCCCCCTTTCTGACACAATAAACAGTTGAAGACAAAAGCTCGCAGCGAGCACTGATGACGACATTCCAAACACATCTTCTCTGACGCGTAATATAAACTATTTTCCGTTGAAGACGAGAACTTCTGACCGTGATATTCTCCAAAAAAATTAAATAAATGACCAAATCAGGTGAAAATTCATCACAGGAAATACCTCGAACTCCTGAGAAAGTTAGAACGCAAATTTTTGAGAAAGTTGCGAAGGCATGGCTGATTCTCCAGGGATTGGCATTGCTTCATAAAAGCTAGTGGCCGATTTCGTAACTTATACCCCCACTCTACCCGAATTTCTTCAATCCATCGTTCAAGAAAAGTTGCGCGAGTAATATATACTCGTCGAAAATACATCGTCGTCGGGACTCGAGCCCCAGGATCCCTAGTTCAGAGCCACTGAAGACTCAGAGGACTACTGAGGACTGGCTCTGAGCTAAACTCAGCCGATAAAGTGGGGTGGCACCACCTATCGACCCACGTCATGTGCTTGTTTAAAACTGTTCTCTCGGTGTTTCAGACACAAAATATATATCACGTATTATTAATTACGAGATAGTGTGTGTGTCAGAGGATTAATGTTTCTAGTCAACAAAGATTTTCACCCTTTTCTGTCGGTTTCGTTTGCAGGATTTTCAGAAGGATCACTCTCAGTGTTCTCGAGAACTCGAAGGAGTAGGCTTCACGAATCGGAACATTACATGTAATGCTATAATGATTTCACTCTTGTGCCACATTGCGTGAGGGAACTTGTAATAATGATTAACTTTTCACATGTTTGTTTCAGTGATTTCCGTTAGAAAGGATGAAATGTGCTTTTGTCGGAGAAATCGGGTCACTTTTGTTTCACCCACCCCACAGGTACGTAAGATTCGGCTTAGTCATGCGACAGGACTACTCTATTTCATTATTGCTCTGAGCGAAAGCTAAGCAACGAATATTTACAGTTGTTTATGTAAATTAATTAATACTAGTAAAATGCGGCGTCGCCGACGCTGTAAACTGTTTTAAAAATAGTTTCATGAGTTGAAAATTTATTTCATGCCCAGTTTGTTCAAATATGTTCTTTCAGTATCAGGCATTGGTCTTACCAATGAATTGTAGTAGCTGATACTGTTATACTCCCGTTCAAAAGTTCCCAACACCCAATGACATTGTGTGTTACCTCCATACGGAATATGATCTAGTCTTATTTGAATTTCAAAATTATAATCGCTGTAACAAATACTTGGAGGTTGTGATGCTAATAGTTGAATTTTAGTACAACTACATTTTTAGGCTTTTCTGTTAAATGAATAAAAATGCACATAGCACATTTGCATTAGCACATTTGCATTAGCACATTTGCATTAGCACACTTGCATTAGCACAAATGTAGATCATTCTCAATTAGTTCAGAAATTTCTGTCGCAACATCTTTTACAACTACATTCGATTCTTACCCAGATTTCCTTAACACTTCCATATTTCGCCCCCTAATTTTTGAAGAGATTGAAACTTTACAAATGTTTTGTGTTTACTTCTACTTCTGCAATTGCTCTATTAATTATTTTGCATGCGAATACATTGTTACATGCAAATCTAACATTAAAAGGCGACTGTTTCGTATGTTTATGTGAATAAAGTGTTAGGTAAGTTTAATAAACATAAGTTGTGGGTCACATTCAGTTGAAAATCGGTATTTGCGCACTTACATAAGAACGAAAATGTGCGAAGTCGAGCATAAGAAAGTTCATTAAATCTCTAGTGTTACTCACAGTTTTGTTTTCACCATATTCACTTGAAATTCTTCAAATTTAATAAATTACGAGGTAATACTGTTCATAGGTTTTTGAAAATTTCCTTTTAAAAATACAATATTTCGAATATAAATTGATATCAAAATGCAGCGCAATTTTCTTGGTAATTCAATTGTTCACTTAAAGATATCAACATCAGCAACGCCGTAAGAGACAATTATGGCGTATTTTTCTAAAATTTTGTTTGGATACGGGTGATTAACACCACCAAATAGATCGATTTAGGAGGCGCTGGTATGATTCCTGCCTTTATCACTGAGATCGCAGCACCAAAACACGAAAAAAGCAGCACCAAAACACGTTTTGGGAAATTTATTTGAATCTTCTGGCCGGATCCGGAGACAAATGATCAGTTCCCCATCAGGAGACAGAGACACGTCGAATGATACGCGTCGATTGGTGCACGGGAAATGGTCTAGCCGCGAGTGACGGAATATCACACATTTGCAAATCCTCTCATCCGCACATCTGCACACTCAAGAGTTTTACTCTGTACTGATTATGCCCTGGAGGTCAAATGAAGTTTTTTATGGCTTGGCAAAATATCTACTAATTATTCAGATAATCCAATTATTTATACGCGTGGAAAATTGCAAATGCTCATTATCAAATAAAGTCAAGGCATTCAAAATATTCTCATCCTCCATAATTTTCTGAAAAATTAATATACGATTCATTATATTATAATTTTTATGTTTAAATAAACACTATAAATTGAAATACAAATGAAGGGGCTCACAAATTTATGTTCACAAAATACCCTTATTAAACTTTTTTCACAAAATTGTAATCATTGTAATATTTGCTGTATGTTTATAAAGTGTAAATCTGTTTATACATTACATCTAGTTTATTAAAAACATTGAAAGGCAATTCCGACGAATTTAGAATTATTAAAATATTTGAAAACAAACTTGATGATCCCTTTCAGAGAGAGTCAGGGTAATCACAATTGCCTAACAGCATACATCTTTTAATGACCATGTCCATGTCCATGAATTTTGCTGGACCATTGAGATGTGTTGGATTAGCCTGAAAAATATACAATTTTAGCCATAATTAAGCAAAGGATTCTGTTTTCCAAATGAAGGGTTTTTGCTAATCAAGAGAACTGAGAGAGCAGAACATCGTACCCAGGGTTGACATCAAAAACTCCTGTACCTATTTCGCCGTCTAATCATGCACGCTTCATATCTAGCATGAACTCTGTTACTTTCTTCTTAATGTAATTTGTGTCGTGTACCATAATTGTCTGGAAAGTTGGAACTCACGTTCTTACTCAGATTGAAGCTACCGCATAAGAGGCAATTCGTTATCTACTTTCTATTAGATGCAATGCTACGGTGTTCAGTCTCCCTAAAACGCTTTTGTCTCATTCGTGCGACAAAATGTGTTGGTCGCCCCATCTCTCTCCGAATATATAAACTAATGTATTAACAAAAATTATAAAAAAATATTAAAATTATATTTCGTATCGCAAAGCATTTCAATAGCATGGTGCACAACTAACTGCATGCATCATTTCATTCAACTACATCTTTTGTGATATACTTTTCTTCAAAACAGCTCATATGAGAATACTCATTTATTAAAATGTTTAAAAGCCCTCTGGTGAAGACTTACAACCAGTGTACGTTTTTTAGAGCTTTGGAATTTGTCTAGTAAGTTGAATAAGTTCAGGCAGGACCATTATTGACAAAATTTATTAACGCGAAATATTCGCTACCTTGCAGAAGAAACTATTTGCATCAGCAAAATGCCATAAATGTTTTAGCTCAAATCTCTCCCCACGAGTAGGACTTGATCCTCTACTGGAGAAACATAATTTATTTTATGGACGAAATTATATTTTCTTCTTGTAAATTCTTTTGCAGGTTACCCCACAAGTAAGTAACTCCCTGGAGTGAGAGATGAGGTGATCGGGGTGCCAAGTATTTGGAAACAATTGGCTAACAATTCTTTTTTCACCACGTCTTACGATGAAGCTGTTGCAACAGATTGAAGATGTGTGGTGGAGATTCATATTACATGCATATCTAGGGAGTAACTGGCATACACAAAAAGAAGCTTGCAACAGCACCGCAGAATGTTATTCTAAGTTTCCAGACTCTCCTGGGCACGGATGACCGTTACTTGCTATCGAGCACATATAGACGTGTGCTGCCTAAATCATTAGGGTGGACAACTACATTTTTCAGGCTTTACATTCATTGACCTTTTTTTTATACGTGGCTTACATCTCTATCACATAAATAAAATGTACAAAAAGGCGAATGAAATTATATTTTAAATGATACCACTGATAAATACTATTTGATTTGATGCAGAACAATTTACAGATTACCCGATGGCTTGGATAGTCTCTTCTCCAAATGTCGCATTAAGAACTCTGAAAATTATAAAGTTAAAAAGGAGAAAATGAGGGTTTGAACATATTCAAGGAAATAATCAATTTTATTAAGTAAAGCTACTGGACTGATTTTCAAAATTTTCAGAGGGAACACGGCCCCTAGCTTCCCCATGCGAAAGCTTCTGCGAACACACATTGTAGTCGGGCGACCATAAACCCTTCACTTTGTATGATAGAGCAACTCATTGCATCCTACGTATAGTAAACTGGTAACTTGTATGAATACGCCTGTCTCATTGCAAATTAGAACTTTCTCTGTTTAACATTGGGTGCATGTTAGGTGTCATTTGACGCGGCTCAGTCTGCTGAGGGAGAACTGACCATTTTGTTTACCGAACATATTCAGAACTCTCTAAAAGAAGTATCCAAATATCGAGTTCTCTGCGAGAGGCGGACAGGAAGTGGAGCATTTACAACGCGTTTTAAGACATCTTCAGACTAATTAGTGGCTCATCAGATTGCTTTCGACGAGACGAATCGATTTGCGCTGTATGACTTTTCAATGACTGGAAGAATTTTCGACAATGAATGTATTTGGGACAGTTTCAAGACATTGTCAATGGAATAAATGGAGCAAAATAAGAAAATGACTCACATACAATAAAATGTATAAAAACGGAATAGCTCACAATTCATAATTATAAAACTATTTGTAAAGAATTATAGTTGAAAATCTGAAAACGTGGACACATAGGGGCAACGTCTATTCGAAAAAAAGGGATTGGCGGGTGTGTTTATGGTATGTATGTTTGTGTGGGAGGTGTGCGTGGTGTGAGGTGTGCGTGATGTATGTGGTGAGGTGTGTGTGGTGTGGTGTGTGTGGTGTGGAGTGTGTGGTGTGGTGTGTGTGGTGTGGTGTGTGTGGTGTGGTGTGTGTGGTGTGGTGTGTGTGGTGTGGTGTGTGTGCGGTGTGGTGTGTGTGCGGTGTGCCTAGTGTGTGTATGGCGTGTGCCTGGGGAGCATGGTGTGTACATGGTAAGTGTGGTGTGTGTGTATGTGTGTGTGAATGTGTGGAGTGAGAGTGATATGTATGAATATGTGTCGCGTGTGTGACACGTGCGGTGAATACGGTGTGTATTTGTGTGCTGTATGTGTGTGCACGAAAGTGTACATGTGTGAGAATGTGTATGCATGTATGTGCGCCTGTGTGTGTACGTATATGCATGTGTGGGTGCTTGTGTGCATGTGTAAGTGTACGTGTATACAGGTGTGTGGTGTGTGCAGTGCGTCTGGACGTGTGGAAGAAGATGCACGTGGACATGTGTGCGAAGATGAGTTACAAAACAACTACAAAACACAAAATATTTCAATTCCAAATATTACCCTCCCCATTTTTTGACATTTACTTTCCATGCCAGTACTGTTTCCGTGCGAGGCGGGGAGAGGCCGGG